CTCTATTGCTTTGCCTACAGTTTTATACAGGCAATGTCATCGTGAAACGAGGGAGCTCAATAAGGATTTGTAAACAACAGCTCATTCAGGGCGGCAATTACGGCTTTAAAAACTAAATAATATAGAGCGGCACTTGCAGAACGCAAATCTTAGGCATATTCGTATGGAGGCGGGCCTCTAAGATATATCTCTTCTCCGAAGTAGGGGACATAATACTAGAGCGTGACATCATACTGAATTGTTTTGTTAGAAAATGGTTCATCTAGAACTTCATTCTTGATCATTCTGATTTCTGAGAATATCCAAATAGTACATAATCGTGATATTTTACTTTATTCGTTTACCGTTGTTGTAATTTGGTAATTATTTGCCGTTGCTAATTAGTGGAAATGTTCGTATCTGTTATCCACTTGTAATAATTTTAATTTCTTCCCGTCTGTTCTCTCTCTGACGGTTTCTTGGAAAGATGAGTTACTCGCTGGTGTCATGCACAGTAAATAGTCACCGGAAAACTATAAAACGAGTTTCCATAATACTCTAGTCCTAGATCTTGTCGTTGCCGAGCAAATCGGTTAGAAAGGTAGCTCATCTCCATATGAGCATGCCTAAGATTTGCGTTCTGCAAGTGCCGCTATATATTATTTAGTTTTTAAAGCCGTAATTGCCGCCCTTAATGAGCTGTTGAATTTGTTTACAACTCCTTATTGAGCTTTCTCGTTTCACGATGTCATTGACTGTATAAAACTGTAGGCATAGCAACAGAGATCTAAGTCAAATATATTTCTTAAAATTGCTGAAATTTTACATTCTCCCTCCTTACATATATTTGCCAATATTTTTCTGAGTATACACGAGTCACTTGTTTACATCCACCAAATGTCGGGGCTTAACTCGAATGCTTAAATCGTTAATTGACTTCGACTTTAAGCCCCCGGCGAAAAAGGGCGTGGCAGGGACTTAACTCGAAAAGGGCTTAACTCGGAGGGCTTAACTCGAAGGGCTTAACTCGAACAATACCTACCCCCTTTTGTACCTCTGAGCTTATTACGAATAAATTGACCTCGCGGTTTTATTTCGTGTAAAAGGTCAATTTATTCGTAATAAACTCAGAGGTATAAAAGCTAGTCCAAAATAATCTGTTCCTTAATGAAAATTGGCTGTTTATACGAGTTGTTCGTGACTTATTTAGGCTGCAGCTTATTTAAGCCAAGAAGTATGATAACTATTTCCAACTAGATTGTGGGCAACTCAAATTATTGCTCTTCATGCCTCAAATGTCGGGGCTTAACTCGAACGTCGAATGTTTACAATGACTTCGAGTTAAGCCCTTCTTTTTTCACGGGGCTTAACTCGAACTTTTCAAGTTGTGCTTCTTTCTTCGAGTTAAGCCCTTGACGAAAATGGGTGTGGTTTGGGCGTGGTCGGGTCTTAGCTGGAAAAGGGCTTAACTCAAAAGGTTTAACTCGAAGGGCTTAACTCGAAGATTACCTACCTCCTTGTAGCTATGCTCTATAGGGCTCGATGCGGAAATTCACTAAATTCAGTACTAGAAATTGGGAATTTTTCAGCTACTATTTTCAAGCCTGGCTTTAAAGAAACTAGAGCAAACATAAATGCATAGTCTTTCAGAACAGGCAAATTTTGCGAACATTTCATTTAATAAAAAGCAAAGCTTAAGTTATTGAAGAAAAGACTACAGTATGGAGATTTACAGTATGTGGTAAATATTTTAGTATTGATTGTCAAGAATCCGTGAAATCTCACCACGACAGAATTGTAGCTAAAACGTTTGCGCCATGTCTCCTCTAATGAAAGCGCAAAATACCATTTTAGAAAATCGCAAAATTTAAGTCTCGCGAAATTTCTACACTCAGAACTACCCTAGTCAAAAATTTGAAAAATAAATTCTTGATACAAATATGATCAATAACATGCATGTACAATGCAGCTCATATATCGACATAAATAAATTATTTAACAGCAGTACTAGTCTTGTTATTAGGCTACAGTTTGCATTTTGCCTTGCTAACGGCAATAAAGATGAGTAAAAACATTCAGTAAACAGTATATAGCTACCTTATGTTGACTTATTTCGAAAGTTGCATGTATATAGTTCAGATTTTTATAGAAAATAAAATGTTGTTCAGAAAGAAACTTATACGCCTGTATTCTAAAAGCTCACTCACACTCAAAGAGTGGAGGTTCAATCTCAGCTTCCCTTGAGCGTCGGTGCTGTTTTTGAATAGCTGCAGGGTTAGTGTCGTACCTTAATATGTGACTACTCACCTTCCAGCTATTCATACAGCATTGACACCCAACCAGGAAGCTCAGATTGAATCTCCACTCTTTGAGTGTGAGTGAGCTTTTAGAACACAGGCGATAATCTCCTTTTTCCTATTTTTGCATGCTAATCAAAATCGCGAAAATAAAGTCTCGCGAAATGTTGCCTCGAAAAGATCACGAAATTAAGTACGCTCGAAATAAGTACGAATATTAAATGTAATCAACTGACAATTTATCAGGTGAAATTAATTTTCTGCTTTGAAAACTCAAAAATTATTTTATAGGTAACCGGTAGTTATACCAGTAAAGAATTAGAGGCTTATTCAAAAGCTGGTCACGTGGCCGAGCAAAGCGTTTCATCAGTCAAAACTGTGGCCGCTTTTGGAGGGGAGAACAAACAGGCAGAATTGTAAGTGCCAGCTCAGCTGCTTCCAGTGTTTGAATAATTCGATTGCAAATCAATTAGGTAGACTTTTATATATCTTTTAATTGTTTTTGGATCATTTAATACTTGCAATACATGTACATCTTTCACGGCAAAATTCTACTTTAAATTTCTTCCGACGTCACGTCATGTTAGTAATTCTTGCGGCAGAATCAACATGGAACTACTTTGCACTATGCCATATATCGACACAAATGAAACATATATCCAAAAAGAAAACTGTTTAAAGAAAGGATGTAGTATATTCCGGATCCGTTCTGCGCATGAGTATGTTCGAGTCTTAAGCTTGTGAAACAAACAGTTTAATTAGGTTTTATAACAAACATACTTGCAGGGAAGTGAGTCCGGAATTGGATGCACGGAGGCGGGAAACGTCCAGGTGCGTCCAATATCGGACTCATCGAACCTACAACTGTATGTTTGGCTTTTATCACATGTCGTTTTTGTAAAATGTACTGAAGGACTTACGCATTTTAGTATATAATTTCTTGTTTCGATAACGAACATTTTAGCCGCCAACATCTTAAGCAAACAAACAAACTTAGGCTTAAATTGAAGCTAAGAAAATTATCTACCATATATGTATTCCCTTATTCTTGAAAAGAGAAAATGCACACATTCTGCGAAAACATTGCCAAGATTTACATAAACCTGCCCTTGCGGAACAAATTTCGGCGGCCATCTTTCTTCTCTTCCACTTTGAATACAGAATATTCCATTTTCACCAAACAAAATATAAAAATAATAATTATAAAATAATCAAAACCAATCAATTTATTTTTTATTTAAATATTCGCCTGAAATTTGTTCAAATATCGCTTCAAATGGCCGCCGAAAACATCGATTACGAACCCCCTCCTAAACATATATCATGAGCACGTGACCAGGTGGTTTGAGATTGAACGCATCTCCTAGCCTCGTAGCCAACAGGACAGCCGCTAGTACGCTAGGTATGAGCATGGATAATAAAATACATGGATAGGAAACTAGCTGACGTTACCTGATGTTTTCAATGGGATGATGGCGTTGAAACCTAGTTGCAAACAAAATTCTCAAAAACGGCATGTTTAGCGATAATACAGCTACACCTTTTAGTCAAAGAGTAAATAAATATAACTAGGATGAAATCTCTAAGTATTCCCGGTCAATTTTAGCAAATATTTCAAGCACTAAACAGTGAAAAATGCATCGCAAATTTCGTTAAAATTGGCGACGCCAATTTCGTAGCTACAAATGTAAAAAAATACAAAACAAAGACGAAAAACATTTACCTTGAATACTTTGTCGTGGCTTAGGTATGTTTTTAAAACAATTAGACCAGTTTATGCTTCAATATTACTCTTTTAAAGCGGAAAATATAGCGAAACAACAAAATGCCAAAACTTTGGCAATACACGTGACGTCACATAGTGTGTAAAATAACTGGATAGAAACTTCCTGACGGCTGACGTCACAGTCTAAACCTAGTTATTTACGTCCGCTTTGCCCGCGCGGGCGAAGCGGACACTATGAACATACTGACCACAAGCGGCACAGTTGTGACGAGCGCGCACGCTTCCCCCCGCGCGGATAAAGCGGACGTAATGGAAACCGGCCTTTAAGATGCACCAAATCGGCGACGCGGACGCGACTTTAAAACAGTCGCTAATAATTTGTGACTATAGTTTTACTTTGTTTTTGTCGTGTCCCTGGCTTTATTCACCAACAACAATCCATAGTTTCTACCCGTGAAGTGAAACTGAAATAATATCGGCACTTTTTCGTCACGTCCATGTCCGTAGATTTGGTGTATCTTAGCTCCCTTTTACATCACCTGCATGCATGGCTGCGCTATACATAGATAACTTATTTAACACTGGAAGCAGGACCTAGTTGTCACCTCTTCGATTATGAATCGAAGTTCATTGTTTGGATACAAAAATGTAAAGAAACAAAGATGACAAGAGTTAACGGACTGTACAACATCTTTAAGTTCTTTGCAATTATTGCCTTTACTGGAAATGTTGATATTTTTTATTCCTGTAAGAGAAGATACGATCATGAAACTCGGAGACTTCCATGAGTGCCTGCATACAGGTAGCATTCATTTTCTGTTCATCATTTAGAAAAATCATCTATAGTTATCTTCAAATAGAGACGTTAACTTTGAGTCATTGTTTTCATCAACTAAAACGTGCTCGTTAACTTTGTTCATCTTTAGGTATGAGGATCACCTTGATGATGCGGCCAAATTTGGAATTATGAAAGGTTTAGGACTTGGAGTTGGAATGGGAAGCTTTCAGCTAGTCTTGTACTGTAATGTTGCTGTATCATTATGGTAAACACTTTAATTTACACCAAAGTATTTTTGTCCATTTGTATTTGTTTCATTAATGTGTTAAAAATTCTTGCACTCAATGTATAGTTTTGAGGAATGAACCGTATCATTCCGTATCGCTGATTCAACACACAGAGATTATATTTTATTTAAATAAAATGCAAACCAATTAAATTCGTAGTTATGGAGCCATATTCAAGGTTTGCTCCTTATTGCATTTCTTAATATTTCCATGACTCATTGACTCTCATGACCAGTTTTCAAAAATCCATGGCATGGAATTCTGAAATATTGGTAAATAAAGGAGAAATATTCGATGGAAACACCGGTCAAACCTTTACATGCAGTTGTATAGAAACAACCATTCCAATTTTAAACGCTCAACATTTTAAATACAAAGTGTTAACAGTCTATATTCTTGATTTCCGGTGAATAGTTGTTAATCCTTATACCTAAGATTTCGAACCTCGACTTTTTAAATGTCATCGAACCTCAAAAACGTATACATGCAGTTTCAAAAATATTGGTCTTCTTTCATTCACGTATTGAATAATTCAAAAAGACATTTTCTGCGGAATCTGTTTCATTCAGTATAAAGGCAAGTTAAATGAAAAATGTATAGTATTTATATACTATATACACTACATGTATATACTTGTCGACCATACACTGTTTTTTTCACGTCTTTTAGGTACTGCATCAAACTAGTAAGAGACGGAGACGCTGACCCTGGTGACGGACTCACGGTACATTTAGTTGTTTATACTCTAAAAACACCCTGGTTAAAAATTTCCCGGTTAAACTAAAATTAACACTGTTTGGGGTAATTGAATGCTCCAGCATGGTTAAATTTCATGGTTAAATTAACCACATTCCTTGTTAATTGGATCACTATCAAGTTAACCAGGATTCCTGGTTAATATAACCAGGCTTATAGTTGCATTAATCACATTATATCAGATTATTATGCCTGAAATTCTTGGTTAATAATAGTCCGCCCAATATTATGCATTTAATTCAACCATATAGCCTGGGTAAATTAACCAGAAATGGTGGTAAAATTATCCAGGACTATACATTGATCAAATTAACCAAGATGATGGTTATTATAAATTAACCAGGAAATTTAATCCAAATACCGTTCATTCTACAGATTAACCAAGACATTTTTAACCAGCTGGGTGTTTTAGAGAAAACTTCCTCAACCTCTGCAGTGACATTGACGGAATATTTATATGCGGCATATTCCCATTTGTCTTTTATTACGCAGGTTGTAAACTATATTATATACGTAATAGGTAATTTTCGCGCATATTGATTTGATTTCAGGTTTTCTTCTGTGTTATTTTTGGTTCAATGACAACAGGTCAATCAGCTCCTAGTTTCGAGGCCCTAGGAGTGGCCAAAGCTGCAGGGTACGCTGTATTCAAACTAATTGATCGAGTAAGTATACGTCCTTCTATTTTCGTTCTGACATTCCACCATTTCCCTTAGAGTTCAATTCCAACAGTATTTTGTATACACATATGAATTTCAAAGGAGCGTTTGCCCAAGTGCTCACAGCTCATCTAGCGGCTCACCCTACACATTTGAAAATATTACATTGTAGACACTGAAAGAGGTATAACACAAAAGACACTCTTGTCAGACGACATCGCCAAACTTTTAATTAATCTATTGTCAAAGGAAAACGTTTAGTTTCATTGAAACATTGTTGGACAGAATAGAAAATATTCCTGTTTTCTGAAATATTCTGTCTCCTTGAATCAAAAAGGAAAATATTAACTTGTTGGGAATCCGACAAGAGATGCCATTCGTTACCAAGAAATTGTGCAAAAACAAAGTAATATCACACGAGTTTCTGAAAGGTAAACTCGACCTTTGTTGTACCGTTTGGGGTAACAAGTCTAACAAATAATGTGGAGTAAGGTTGTTCATTATTTTAAAATATGAAATAAGCTTATGCATGGATTGTCTTGTTTTCATATTTTCCCAAGACAGCTGTATTTAGTTTTGCCCATAGTTTCCTTAATTAAAAAAATAAAGCTAAACAATCACTGAAAAAATTTTTGAAAATCCATAGGAAAGTGTATGGACCTTTATTGGAAACTGTAATGGACCTGATTGGAAATAGAATGGATTTTTGATTATCCGTAATAATTATATTTTACATATTACATATTTATATTGTGTATATTTACACACTATGCATATAGTATCGAAATAGTAAAATATTTGATGGAACAGTATTATTCCATTTGTATAGTTAATGAAAAAAATAGTTTGAAATTAATTTGCAGTATCCGTACGTTATATTGAAGATCATTTTATTTCTCAAAGCTTTGTTCATTCCGTACTTGCGTTTTTGTTCGCTTGATGCTTATTTTATTTTGTTGTGTTGATTTTAAAATTGTTACCGATGGCATATTGGCGGCAAACTGCCATGCATATTGCTCAAAAAGCATCAGCCACAGTAACGGAGCAATATAGCATACATAACAGAGGCGAGCAATGCAATTTATGGATTCTTAGTGTACAAATAAAACCCTGATAACAGCAGAAGTGTTTGTTATGCTTCATTTCGGGAAGTCTGCACTTGCGTCACAATTAACGTTGGAGGTCTCAGTAGAATAGTAAATTTCATTATCTACTATCGATATCGTGGTTGTAGAATAGAGGAAAAAATCGTGTTACATGGCAAAAACTGGAAAACATACCCATTCACTGGGAAAAAATGTTAATCCATACTATGAGATTTGCACTTGCACAACTAAATCCATAGTATATCTATACTATGATATTCACGCGGCATAGAGGAATAGCGTAAATTTCGATTACGCCTACTGTGCAGACGTCGATTCTGAGAATTGTTATAATTCGTTTCATATTTAACTCTGTTAAGTACCACATATTTTATCAGTTACTCCAGTTTTCTCTACATAACTGAAACTGACCATGCATGCAGATCGACAGTGCATGAATGATAACAGTTAACGGTTCATCTTGGCGGGCCTGATAGACAACGGTACGTAGTAAAATATGCAGGAGAACTAAGAAAAGTTCAATCGTTTTAAGTTCCATTCAGTTCAGTTCAGTTTATTTTAGATCAGATCAACTCAGTTCAATTTCTGAGATGTTTGCATGCTATCTCCGCAAAATTTAACCTCGTCACCAGTACTTCAAAGTGTGAGAAATAGACAAGATATTAATATAAAAAACTGCTTATTAAATAATATTTTTTCCCTCAAGGTGTCCAAAATAGATGCTTCGTCAGGCGAAGGACTTAGACCAGCTGTTGTTAAAGGAGACGTGGAATTTTCTAATATTGACTTTGTCTATCCAACTAGACCAGACATCCAAGTAAGCGAAATCATTAATTTTTCCTTGTTATAAGGACTTCCAATAAGTACCAATTATTCCCTGCGGCTATAACCGGGATTAATATAACCCTAGCTAAGTTCATTGTTCCTTTTGTAATGTTTGTATGCATGTACTGAGAAGGGGAACGATATTATTCCCAAGACAATAGTTCGTCTATATATATAACACTGTATCATCGTTCAGGACGAACTACCCGCGCCAGTCCGTTTATCTCTATACACTGCGCAGATGGATTATAAAACCAACTATATTCAATTTCGTTCAGAATATTCATCTCTCTTTAAACTCTAATATATACTAATCCATTTACAGTTGATGTGATTCGCTTCTAATACTCTTAAATCTAATATCCTTTCCGGTAGATTCTGAAAGGTTTCTCCCTGAAAGTTCCGAGTGGTAAACGAGTTGCACTGGTCGGAGAAAGCGGCTGTGGAAAAAGTACAGTTGTTAAGCTCATCCAGAGATTTTACGACCCACTAGCCGGATCTGTGAGTATAAAAATTAACAAGTACTGTATAACTGTATTCGGGATAGGCATTAACTAACTGTAGTGTATTAATTAACTGTATTCAGGATAGGTATATTAACTGTATTCAGGATAGGTATTATGTATTAACTACTGTGGCATTTAGGCTGATTTAAGCAGAAAATTCTGGTTGACCTGGGCTAATGGTGAATCATGCTTGGTGAGAAATCTAAGGCGGGTGCTTGGGGTTGTAAATCATGCGAACATAATTTGACTGATTGAGCCCGGATATAGCTATGTTCTGAGAATGCAAAAGCGGGAACGGTTTATATGTTAAGAATTATTCTGATCGCTAACATGGATTTCAAGAGTCAGTTTTCTTTTTCATTTTTAACATCGGAGTTCAAGAGTCATTTTTCTTTTTCAAATTTTTCTGGAAGAGCAATTATCTCCATCATCGCATTGACGTCATACCGTTATATTAAAACAATCGAGGAGATGATGTGACGTCAGAGATATAATTTTATCTTAGCTGGATGAACGAAACTTCGCAATAGCGTGAAGCAGAATGAAATGCTAATATTCCTGCGAAATGCTTAAAGATAGATGCCTCTTCCAGGCGGCCAACGTTCATCTTCCGGCTTTATGAATGCACTATATGCTAATTTTATTAATGAATTGTGTTATCTTATTCCAATATAGGTAAAACTTGACGGTAATGACATTAGAACGCTGAATCTCGGTTATCTTCGGAGTATAATTGGTGTTGTGAATCAAGAACCTGTGTTATTTGCCACGACCATTGCCGAAAACATATCTTACGGGCGAGTTGGAGCTAGTCAACGTGAAATCGAAGAGGCTGCTAAAATGGCAAACGCTCACGATTTTATAACCCAATTTCCGAAGGTAATTTCCAACGCTTTTATGTAACTTTTATGGAACGATGAAGCTAGAGGCAGGAGAAGGAGGGGAATGGCTCCCCAATTGTTCGCCGAGTAAAAGAACTAAAGGTAATTATTTGATATAAATGGTTAAAATAATCCGACCACAATAGCTTCGTTTACTTGCATGCCCCCGTCCCTACTTCCAAACCCACTCGGTGGTCACTGTCTGTATAATCTACACTGTCTGTGTAATCTGCTAGAACGGTAGGTAACAATACAAGTACAATATGCAAGTTTGATATAAGTGTCTGAAACATAAGGGAATTAGCCAACCATATTCCATTATTTGCGTACACGATGATCTGAATACCTAATGAAATGTATCGATTCAGTCCAAAAACTGGATTAATATTAACTTCAGTTTTAGGACTAGGTCAAAATTGATTCCAATCACTTTAAATAATGATTTCTAACTATGAGATGTCATTTCAAAACTTCAAATTTCGCCCTGCACGGGTTTGAAATCCCATCCAGTCATACCTCATTTTCGTATTTGAAAAAAGGGTACAGCGAACGTTGCTGTTATTCGTCTGTGAGCATCGCCAATCCTGACAATGTACGGAAATTCAGGACGTCGTCTCTTTGAAAATATAATGTCGTTGTACTAACATTTTAATAAGTTTAAAAGATCGAAATTTGATGTCTTGTCCTCAATGAATGCCAGCCTGACTTCCCCCGGCCTTGAATATTGCCGTACATAATCAATGTTTTTGTTGTACATGCTGCATGAACGTAATGATGAAATAAATTTTAGGGATACGATACTCTTTGCGGAGAACGTGGTGCTAAAATGAGTGGTGGACAAAAGCAACGAATTGCCATCGCAAGAGCTTTGATCAGAAATCCAAAAATTTTGTTGTTAGATGAAGCTACGTCAGCTCTTGACACGGAAAGCGAAGCTGTTGTGCAAGATGCTCTCAACAAAGTTAGTATGAATATCAAAATTGCTTTTTTAATTTAGTTGTTTGATACCACAGTTTGTTTTGTTTTGTCGTCTCGTCCCGTCCCGCCCGTTGCTTTTTGTGTGTTGTTTTCCATTATATTTGTTTGTCGACAGTTTTTTGTGTTGTCAAGGATATTTTTTTGCCCAATTTTTTTGCCCAATTCACAATTGTCGGTGTATTTTGTCGTCAGTATACTGATAAAACATATATGCTCTTTGTTTGTTTTTGCTTCTTTAATTGTTGTTAGTTATTTTTGTCAGTTTGTTTAGTTGTTGTCGATTTGGATTTTTTTGTCGACAGCTTTTTTGTTGGCAGTTTGCTTGTCTGTTGTCAGTGTTTTATTTGTTATTGGTGTGCACTATGTATATCAATTTTTCTTTAGAACTATTTTGTTGGTAATGCACAAGTAAATTACAACAGAGCAAGTTGCTAATTATGCGATTGACGTTTTTTGGTCGTGTTACTATTGCGAATTAGACTCGGTGGTATTGCAGCGGTTGTTCGAAAGCCGATTAGCTTAATCCTCGGTTATTAACGAAACAAATTTAATTAAGCGAACCTCTCAATAGCTTATTTCTACCATGATTTGGCAAATAATTTCTCTCAAACCTAAATTTGAAAGAAGTGGACTTGTAGAAATACAAAAACAAAAACAGTGGGTTAAATTTTCAGTGGCCAGGTTGAATGAAGACCGATATAGCCCCATTCAATGGATAGTGATCTTTCAAGCTTTTTATAGTTTTCAGTTGATTAGTGTAGCCCAGATTAAACTTTCTTGTTTATAAATTAATTAAAGTTTCTTTTTATTAATAACAGTAATTGTACATGTGAAGATCATATCCGCAAGTGTATAGCTTTTCAAATATTTTTGCAATGGTTCAAAGTAGGATGACGCTATTCAGCTTTCGTACAAGTTGCCTCTAATGCAACTTAATTAATGCCTGTTGATTTATTTCAGGCAGGAGAAGGACGCACGACTATCATTATTGCTCATCGTTTATCGACTATAAAGGACGCAGATATAATTGTGTCTGTGCGACTTGGAACAGTTGCTGAAACTGGCAATCACGACGAGCTCATGGCCCGTGACGGAATCTACAGCAGTCTTGTGAAGCTCCAGGTAGGGGAAAATGTCATTGTTTGCATTCACACTACGTGGCCCCTGACTGATCAAATACTTTTTTAAAGTAAAATTTACAGCTGCACATTCTGGAATGTTGCGATGCATCAGGTGTTCAACGCGGGAGGTGAGGGAAAGGGAAGAGGGGAAGCACAGATATTTTATCTGAATTACATTTTTAACCTTGAAAGTATGTTGTAAATTATAATTAATTTGCGTACAGTATAGGTGGCCTGACAAAATTATTTTGAGTGGTGGGTGTTCCGTAAACATGTTTTTCTGAGAAACGTTTGTAAGTTTGGAGTCCTGGCTATATTTGTCTCACCCAAACATCTACAAAAAATGATCTATCTAATGTCGAATGATGAATTCAATATATCATATCAGGCAGTGAAGCATATTAATTTCCAGATCTCCCACTCTAATATCTTATGGGGCCGCAGAACATTTTTACATCTTAAAGGATCATTGACAACATTTGCGTTTTAAGTTAAGAACTCCACAAATAGTTTCAAAGATCAAGATAGCAAAAAGTATTTTCCGATACCGTCATACCGGCTGAATGTTTTGGACGAAGTCTGACTTTTTCTTTCACAACGCTATTCGGATCGAAATTAAATTTTATCGATACTACAGCTGCATCAGATTATTGTACATTGTAGCCACTTCACGTGTGTTCTGATTGGCCAATAGTTTGCAGCCAAATATGGAAATTACAAAACTTACAGATGATTGAGTTATCTGATCGTCTTCGACTGACAGCACTTACCTCGCTCTTTGATAGTTCAGGATATTTACGTAAAACCTCATCCAAAACTGTTTTTATTTGTATTAAATTATTTGGGAGAATTTGGGCTATAATTAATCAAGTCACAACAGCGATCGAGTCACAATGATATAAACAAGATATCACGGGAATGCCATCAAAGGACATCATCATCCTTGTTTATATATATAACCAGTCAATTTATTGTCAAATTGCTTGAGTATAATAACTCGTTGAAGGTATTGCACTTTCATTGATGAGCTTCATTAGCTGAGTGGTCTCACATATGCTGGGCAATATTCGTGCATTCATGCAGGGCAATTTTCGATCACGTAAATATAGAAGATAAATTTTGAACGTTTTTGAGGTATGTGCGATGGGTCCATATTAGACTACGATGAGTTCGTTTTGTATCTGACTGCATGGATTGGTTGAGTTTCATTTCTCCACCTTGCATAAAGAGAAGCTATACTATTTCAAAAACTACTAGTAGGCGAGTATCGACATACTGTATCACAGGGTTGTAAGTACTTGTTTCATTAATGTAACCTGTTAAAGGCTATTCTTATGGATGTTGTAATTTCGAGATATAACATTTTTCAAAAAGAACGGGAAAGGTAATTACGATACAAAGAAACGCACACTTTAGTAGAGAAAAATTACAAACTCCTTTTATACTAATGTCTTTAATGAAATGAGTGAATGTCATTTGTCATCGCGATCGAGAAAAATATATGCAACGTTCATAAGCAATTTTACAGCTCTACTATTATTATATAACGTGTCCTCTTGAATTGCTAGGAACGTGCCGGTCTCGAAGAACCGGAAATAGATGATGAGGAAGGGGAGGATGATAATACATTGAATACAAACAACCTCACTGTTCCGCAACTTGAAATGTCTACAGTGACTTCTTCAACTGCCACGGTTTCACACATGACAGCAAGGGTATGTAAAATTGTTAAATTTCCGTAGGTTTATAATATAATATTCATTCCAATATTTGATCTCTTTTGAAAATAGTTCTCCTCGAAATCAATAGTTCCATTCTAGCAGAACGACTCCAGTCTAGTGTTTCCATCAGTGATAATCTAAATTTCCAATATCAGATTTAAAGGTCCAAAATTATGGAATTCAATTGAAGAAGAAATTATACTCCTCATTTCGACAATTTTAAAGTAAATTAACATAAAAAGGAAACGTACATCTACACATTAAATTCTTGTCTTTGTTTCCACAAAGCTTACTCTTCGGAAAATATAGAAAAGTTATGAAAATTATCGTAATATTGGTAGATTTTTTCTTTGTTTATCTTACTGTTCGTATTGTGTAAGTTTGTGTAAATATCCATTCACTCCGACCAACACATTACTGTTTAAGCTATACCTGGCGAACTGGTTTTCAGGCATTTTAGCTAATTGCTATATTTCTGAAAGCCAGTATATACCCATGCATTTATCAAATATTAAATTCTTGTTATAATCTGTATATAATAATATATTTCCGGCAAGGGTACGAATAAATTGTTGTTCATATTGTTATTGTCATAGCTCCTTTTTAATAAATACTCGAAGAAACGTTAAACATCATTGCCGAACAAGGCAAAGACGCTTGTTGAAGATGGTAATCGTCATCTCTATTTCACAGCTATTTAAGTACGATGATTCATATTTAAATCCAACTTTCTAGGAACATCCGTTTTCTTCGGTTTCGGTTGACAACACTGTGCTTAACTTTGTCCACTAATTGTAAATTATTGAATATTTAAATCTAAGCATGATATTGAAAATTTTTCAGACCAAGGGCAATGAATTATCTTTGACCGAGGTCTAAATAATTATTGATATCATATTTATTATACATCCAGGTTCCTCATAAAAAGGCGAGTCTTTATAACCCATTTTATTTTGGCTTCTAAAATGTCTTTAATTTCTTGCGCTGGTGACTTGGGTTCTACAATGTGAAACAGCCTTCTTTCATTGGACTGAAGTCCCGTCCAGAAAACAATTATTTCATGTTGATAATGTCAGTAACGGAAATAACGTGGTAGGTACTAGGTATTGATAATTATCCGGGAATTATTGACCAACCACGAGCGAGAACAAAATTTGAATGAATAATAATGTTAATTAATTAATTATTATTTTTTCACAAACGTCATTGGGCTGCAATAACCACAATGGAATATCTTCATCTTTTTAGTCCGAAGAAGAGGAAATTGAGAAGGTCCCGCTTTACAAAATATTACAGAAGAATAGTCCTGAATGGAAATTTATAGTGTTGGGTTGCATTGGTGCTACACTTTTTGGCATATATCCGCCTTTATTTGGATATAGTTTAGGAGGAATATTTGATGTAAGTATGTGAAAATCTGCAATGCATTTTGAGGATACCTCGAGGGCGTACCTAATTTTATGAATTTTTTGACGCTGAACATTATATGAAATAGCCTGCCAATCCGGAGACTTACTGGTATAAACCCAGGAAAATTTTAGGGAAAACGCCCTTTATTTGACCTTTGACAGAAAATGCAACCATGCCTATATTATACATTATCCATTATTAAAAGCAATCCACGACAACATTTTTTTATTTTTTATCGCATACAATTTGAAATATGATATTATTGCACGTTTTCACAGTGTACTACTAGTACTGCACACTTCCACTTTATTAGTGTAAAAATGTGTTATAACTGTACACTATGTATGTTTCGGGCATGAACCGCCGCACATTTTCAGTTCTTGGGTTTTGAAACCCAATTTTAAGCGCAGGTATAAAATGCATTGTTCTGCTGGTTATGTTAAGACTTTGGAAATACAATCATTACAGGGCTCATTAGTCAGAGTACCTTTGAGAATATAAGAAGAATTAGCATTATACTGGAGTGACCTTCAAAAATTTAATAGAAATATATTAGAATAACTGAATAATGCATGATTATTTCAGTTTTGGTAAGAAATCTAGGATGGGCGCGTGGGGTCGGTTGAGCCAGAGGCGAGTTGCTCAGACCTCCTTGACTGGAAGAAATTATATATTAACAAGTTCCACCATTACACTATACCTCTGAGCCGCCTTCTACGACACACCTGTGATGCTTGTCCAATGACTTGTTATTTTCCCGGTCACTGTGCATAATGAAAGTTCGAAGCTAGCTGAAATGTCCAACAAAATTCGCCCATTCTGTAACATGATTAAATTACAGTGGGAACTATAGTCTAACTGGTTTAATTTCGTCATAGCTCATTCTATGAAATATTTTAGACGTTAGCCAATGATCCAAATGTAGAAGAGCAGAATCAAGACATGAAAGATGACGGCAAGAAATGGGCTATTTATTATGTTTTTGTTGGCGTGGAAAGCGCTATTGGTATCACATTGCAGGTAAGTGTGTACTGACAAAGCATAAGATGTAAATCCATAGATAGCCAACAGGGAGTAATTTCGTTTTCGCCCAATCAGCGCATTTATTTACAATGTTGCGCTAAGCTGCTCAGAATGCATGAATTCGCGACAGTTGCTAGAAGACCAGTAAACTTTAATACAAAAACAGGACCGGTCTTAAATAAACTAGAAATACATGCATGCAGTAACCCCTCGCGAATATTTTCCATACATTAAACATGAAGTATTCAGAAATGACCAGCACTGAACGCAGGCTCGCGCTCAAGTGTTGCCATGACAACACGATGTTCTTAAATTTTTATTTTCATATATTTTGTACAAAACTGCAAAATAATTGAAAGATTCGTACTTTTAACTATACAATAATAAATTTCCAAAATATATACTGTAGGTATATTATTTTGCATTTTGTGAGCTTTGATTTAATGTAAAATTTAACTTGAAACGCTTCGTAAAATGTTTTGAAATGTTCATTCAAGTAAACTACATTGTGCCGATAAACTGTTTTTACTTAACAAAACATAATAAGTATAATACAAATAAAACAAATTGTTAGGTAATTTCAGTTCAGTCTTGAAATCAATTTGTTTGCCTTTACATTTTAAGATTTTTTCTCAAATTAAACGGTAATTTATGAAACTTAGAGCTTCTATAGTTCATGTTTTTTATTACGCAAAAAGTTAAAGCAACAAAATTCGTAAACATTTTAAAAATATTCAAAGCAAGCTTGCCGTATATTTCCCGATTTCCCGTAGTAAACCAATTCTTCTCATTTCTTCAAACAAAATTGCTTCAAGCTTGTTGTATATGAAACGATTTTCCAAATATGTGTCTTTTAAAATTGAAATCTTGCTTGCCATATTTTTGAGATAAGTGAGGATGACCACCCACTCAAGATCGTCGATCGTTGGTGAGCGCCCGCGATAATTGATGAACTTTAGACTTCGCTAATGCTTTCGTTTCCCCGGGTGTAAATAGCCGGGGGGAATTAGTACCCTCGCACGGCGCTTCACGCCGTCGGCTCGGGGATTAAGATGGCGGATATTTTATATTTTGCTAGTATAGATGTGCATCACCACTCCATTCCGTTTTCCTGTGCATTCCAGAAAATCACGAGGAAATTACCTATAATGGTGTCCCATTGATCAATTATGTCTATTTATGATATATCCTTAGCTCAGGCAGCAATAAGATCTTTATTGGTGTGCCAATAATTTCTTTTACTTCTAGTACTGGGCCCTAGCCAGGGCAGGGGAAGCATTAACAAAACGATTGCGGAAACAAACATTCCTACAAATTCTTAGACAGGTAAGTAAGTTCTGAAAGACGCGTGTTTCTCGGTCAGTTTCGAAGTGGAAAGTCGGTTAAAATTAAACAGTGCACAGCGCCTGCTCGACCGCTGTTATCCCGGTGGTGTCGGGGTCACCAAAATACTCTGTCTCAGTAAATAAATGATAAATATATTTTTGAACCACAGAGTTCGTTCCCGAATATCTTTAGTAATTGCATACTCTCGAAAAACAAACAAACAAACAAACAAACAAACAAACAAACAAACAAACAAACAAACAAACAAACAAACAAACAAACAACGTAATTATTGTGATGCCTGAACATTGATGAACACGGCAATCAGATAGCAATAGATACCTATATAGGGATCAAAACAAACCTCGACCTATGGCTCTCGACAGTCTACAATTACCAAACTCGAATAAGACAACACAATAGTCAATACAATTCCTAAAAAAATACCTGTTCAAAATTGAATAAAACTGAATAGAACCAAACAACCGCAACTAAAACGATTATAAAACTGAAAGATGTACTGCTGCATTTAACATAAAAAAACTAAACGAAGTATTTCGGCATTTATATACATGGCTAGAAATTTCATACACTGTGGAGTTAAAGCATGCGCATTGGGTACTTAGAAATTAATCCAAAATGGCGTCTTTAGTATAAGATTTAAGCGTAAAATACACAAAATTAAGAATTTTAGCAATTTACGATTGTTAATTCCAACATGCGAACATCTGAAACATTCCCAAACCACACAATATATTATTTGTTAAATTATCAGAACATGTACAATTCGATCGATCAGAATGGGTTCCCGAGCTCCTCGTCAAGATACCGGTTATTCACTGTACAAAGTCCACTAATTGACCATATTTTGTATTCTGCATGGAGCTGAAATTATGGCCGTAGGCCTACTTGCAAAATTTTTCAACCATGCGAACATCAGAATATACTCCCGAACAACGATACTCTTATTCACGCTTGATTTTAAGCTATTTTAGTCCCGTTTAATGGGTTCCCTAATGTCATGAAATACGTTCGCAACTTGTTTTTGAGCATCATAAGACTGCTATTTTCAAGAGGCCATGATAGGCAAAATTTCAAAATATAGTTCCGCCATTGTTGTTGCTCGAAAGCTCTCGAAAGCTGTTGCTATGTTACCATGATCTTTACTGCTGGCCTAAGAGACTGTAGCTACAAAAATATTCGCTCAAAGTCGCGGGGAAAATTCAAATTGGATTATTCACACTGTGTTGTTACGAAATGTGTTGTTGGAAATCACAAATTAGTTTGTGGACATATTGAACAATCCCCTTGTTATTTCAATGAGAATCTATCTGTATATGTTTTAAATATTTCCATTAAATATCGGAGTAATTGACATTGTCTAAAAAAAACGCTATGGAAATTCAACAGGCTGTCGTGCATCATAAACGTGGCTAAACAATTAAATTTTTACATACGACGAAAGAACAGTTATTTAGCTTTTCAATGATATTCTTTTTAAATCGTAACGATGAGAAATGGCCACATACTCGTCAAATAAAAATTGCCGGTCGAAGTCACATTCTTCCACCGTTGGGAATTGCATGGAAGACGAGCCATAGACAATTCCCAAGAGGGAATTAAAATTGAATGTTAAATTATCTAAAATGAGCTCAACTCGTCGATCTTCGTCTTATTGAGATGTCAATAACTCAATAAGAACGTCCATTATAAACATGGTTCAATGAATCCCTGAACAGAGAATTTTTGCAGCAGGCTCGCGTTGCTGTTGGATTGACTAACTTTGCATAATTAATGTATTTTCAATTCCCAACGGTGGAAGAATGTGATTTCGACCGGTAATTTTTATTTGACGAGTATGCGGCCATTTCTCATCGTTACGATTTAAAAAAGGTAACATAGAGAAGCTAAGTACTGAACTGTTCTTTCCTCGTATGTAAAAATTTAATTGTTTAGCCACGTTTATGATGCACGACAGCCTGTTGAATTTCCATAGCTTTTCTTTTTGAGACACCCTGTATACAGATATCGCGATTTTGAATATTTGAAAAAAACAAGCGAAATTTATATATAATTACAGTTGACTTTTTTTTACTGAAGCAATCACTCTTACCACTTCATAATATTTTCCAACCTTGGTTGATTTTGTGTAAAAACCGGCAGTAATGAAAATTATTTAGTTCATTATAAAAGTGAACCGCCATCTTGAAAATTCCTGCAAATGATCCTGCAATCCCATACCGCTGAGTGTATGAAATTTCTAGCCATGTTTATACCGTGTCTAACGTTGCCAAGTTCCTTTTCACGCCCGACTGCGCGCCACGTTGACATGTCATTATGATGAAATCGATTAAACTGTTAAGAGAACACAAAACGTTTGGGATTTGGAATGGTCCGATTGGAAATTCTGGATCAAATCAATCATTCGGCTGATTTTCAAAAAAATTGGACTAAATCTGCTTTATCTGAATCAAGACAAATGAAGAATTGTGAGAATTAATATCAATGTTATTTTTTGTGTGATCTCGTTTTAGGAAATATCTTATTTCGATCAGACCGCTAACGGTACTGGAGCCGTATGCACACGATTGGCAGTTGATGTGTCCAGAATTCAAGGGGTAAGTTAAGCTTGCAGGTTCAGGCAGAGAATTAAAACATATCACATTATTATATGAATGCTAAACATGAAATAAAGGACTGCATGGCCATGGTTTTTCGGATATTTATATTTCGGGCTTGGCACAAGTCCATTGAAGTCCGATAATTCGCTGTGTTCATGATATTTAGCATTAATAGGGAGCATTTTCCACTTTTGGGTGTTTTAATTTGTGCTAAGTTTGAAAATTGTATTCCCATTTGAAGCTAAAAATAACACATTTAACAACACTAACGGTTTGACAATTTCACTCAACCATGTAAGTTTAGTTACTCTGGTTTATCGAAAAGATAGAAGCCATATTTTCGCCACGAACTCAACTTTTACTTTGTGCAGCGTCGCCGCCATGTTTGTTTTGTTTTGAAGCACGTGCAGTGGCCATTACTTGAAAACTGCTTGATTGGCTCTCTTTAGATCCAATTATTTACTCACCAATCAGATTAGTTTGTTACAGATTTCTGCACTGTGTCACAGATTTTTCCACTGCGGTTTAGGATTAACTGCACCAAAAAAACCAACCAATCACTGTCAAGTAACATTTTATGTATATTATGAGATTGAAAACCCCACATGTTTTTATATCCCACCTATAAGTTGTGAGCCAATTGGATATGGAGAAAAGCTGAAAGTATCGTCTTTCAGGCTGGCAATGATATGTGGTTAGCAGAATAAAAAAAATTCTTTACCAGAGTCGAGTTGTGACGTCATACATGTTGAACAAAAAATAGCGAACTCGTGCAGATTGTTTTAGTCAAAATATTTCTTAAACCAAACACGCGACGGCAATATCAGTTTAAAAGCTCCTTCAAACAATATCGTGGTTTTGAAGCATCTCGTTCAGTAGAACTAATAGTAAATAAGTTAATAATAACTAATTGTAAGTTTTTTGTAGATAAAAATAATATTCGAATGCATTTTTAGATCTAACCAAGAGCAGTTGCAAAAAATGCAATTATAGGCCCGGCTCTGGCAAGAATCACGCATGAAGCTCTTGCGATTCCGGCAAATCGCTTTAACCAAATCGCTTTAGCTATACAGAGTCCAGTTGCTCGATATTAACCATGGATTCATGTATATATAATGGAGCGATGCCAGAAGAGGATATGCATGTGGGCAAATACAGTACGTATATACAATTGGCTAAGATTTTTTCTATATTCCAAAACAGGCAACAGGAGCTCAATTTGGCCTTATCTGTTCATCGATCGTCAGTGTAGCTGGTGCTGCTATAGTTGCCTTCAACGGTTCTTGGAAATTGGCTTTGGTTTTATCTTCCATAGTCCCGATGCTATTAGTTGCTGGTATTTGTTATAATGTATTTCTCGGTGGGGGGACAATGGGTCCAGAAAGATCAGAGTCTGGGCAGGTAAGGTATTTAGGTAAATCGATAATGTATACTTACAATATTCTCGTAAAAATTTTGCCTTACAACCTGTTATCATTCTCACGCATTTCCACATCCCTCCCCTGCATCCTCGTCCCTAAGGTGTCTGGGCTGCGTGTAACTTTTCAAATACGCAATGTCGTGAATGGATAGTGTTATCACAACTCTGGGACAAAGTGTTGACATATTTTTTAAAGTAATTATGCTTAGGGAAAATTAACTGCTCAACTTGCGCTAATCAGCGATTCTCTGAGACGCTAAACAGATCTTCCCCTTCCCCTTTGATCGTCGAATCCAGTAACCAATTTTCAACAAGTGACCGAGCGAAATTGGCACTGGGGATGAGAATGCTTTGATCCAATATATATTTGAAGTTAATTTACCGCATTTAACATGACGGTTAAAGTGCGAAACATTTTAAATGGTTTGAAATCGGCAATTTGAATACGAATACCAAGCTAACATATACTCTCAACGACAATGAATGTTTTTCATCGTCACTTCTACTTACTTTGCGCAAAATATGAGTATACTAGTATAATAAAAAAATCACTTTATTACTGTCAGTGATACTAAATGTTCAGGAAAAGCATTTGAAAAGACCCTTTTATATATTTCATTCTGTAAATCACTCAAAACAAGTACTGATAATCTAGATTTCAATGACACTAAAACTATGCCTGTAGAAGATGAAAGATTGGGCTTATTTTGAAAAACTATATAGGTTATGAGCAAGAAGAAATCCTTGAATGCTTAAAAAAACTATGAAAAAATCAAGGATCAATTTACCATAAAATTGCCGGAATTATCACTGATACAGAATTATTAAATGCAGCAAAAAAATATGAAATTAAAGAAAGCTGCTTACAGCGACAGAATTACAAATGAAATGATCAAATCTAGTGTTAAAATCCTACTGCAAGGATTTCTTAATTTAAAGTCTTCAATACCATTTTAATATCTATAAACACTATTCAGAATCATGGTGTGACAGCGCTAAAATAACTCAATATTTAAATCAGGAATTTAATTATAACTCCAATATTTATAATCTTGAATTGTTTTGTAACTTTTCATTACAAAAACCCTATCTTAGATGATATACTATATATATTAACCGTAAATAGATATATAATGACAGTTCAACTTTATATAAATTTATGTTCGTTCTTATATCTAACAATACCTGTAATTACCTCGGGTCGGTACGACACCGAGGTCTTAAATTCGGCTCCTATTTTTTTTTTATTGTTTTTTTTTCCATTTGTGTCGAGCCGCGCGCGTAGTCGAAGATCGAAGAGCCTGCGGAGGAGACGACAACTTCCGGTAAATAAGTGTACTTCCGGCAAGCATCGGCCAAAGCGAAACGGAACCCGAAGCTGTCCTTGCACAAAATCCGTCAGAATTGTTGATTTAAAACCAGAAGATGTGATAATTTTGACATACATGTTTAGCTGGACAACTATTCTCGAGTATATGTTGATATAATGTACAATACATCGTATGCATAGCATGGGAATACCACGGCCAACTTTCACTTGTTATCTATTATAATTACTGACCCGAATCAAAAGTAATTATTTTCGGCTGGAAGACTACTGTACGTTGCTGCTTGTCGGGACCGTATGACAATGAACCTATCCAACGTTACACTAGACATTTGTGAGGACATGCATATAGACATAACCATAGGCACTGTAGTGCATTGAGTGATAGAACAGATTTCAGTTTAATTAATCACCCTAAATTAAAATCTCCACAAGCGGAGGTCAATTATAGTGTTCTAGTTTACATATTATCATTAATGATAGGGTTTACTCAAATAGCGTATTGGATAAACACGGGAATAGAACTTATGGTGTATTCTGCACATGCGTATATCTAGAATAAAATCCCACAAGCGCAAACGAAACTATTTCTCTATAAAATTGAACTGAAAAGACTCACAGCGACCGTTTCCAACAGTGCTTCAGGCACCCGACGACACCGTATGGGGGGCCTTTAGCACTGTCACCTTCTCATCTTGGGATGTTCTCACGTTATCGCGTGTACATGTCAGGGTGACGAAGATGCATTATTGCTAATAATGTCTGTGTGCACTGATGCACGCTGCATTATTTTTAATAATGTTGTGTGCTATTTTAACGCGTACATAGAATATGACGCGTATAAACATTTACCCCTGAGCCGGAATTTCCCTATACAACCCAAAAGGCCGCTCCCGTTTTTCAGTAGAACGTTAAATGAAAACTTCTCGACATTCGCTGATATAATGCAGAGAGAAAACAATAGGTTTGATGAGGGCCAGTAATTATTGTCAATAAAATATTAAAACGGAGCTTTGATTAACTGATTCACCATTTATACTAGTGAACTATTAAACTATCGTGATTTACACAATTTTTGGATATTTACCAGACGATCCCCTATCCACCGACCCGAGGTTAACGCCGAGTCGGCGTCTTGTTAGGTTATGAATTTGAATAAATTATGAAAAAAAACCTCAATCTCATGGCCCATTGATTTTACAACACAGCCCTCTCTTCAAATAACTTGCAGGTAGCAGCTGAAACGATTTCCCATATTCAAACTGTGGTGTCCTTGGGTCGCGAAGAAGAGTTTTTCGAACGATTTAGAGACTCACAAGTTGCACCACTTCGGTAAGTATAATAACAATTAAATAAATAAGTAATAACAGAGCCGAGAGAATGCCAAGCGAATGTGGTGATCAACCTCGTTTTGGCTAGAGACATTCTCCAGAATCATCGCGTATATAAGTAATGTGTTATAATTTAACGAGAAAGCGCTTAAATACCGAAACGTGTCATTGCTATCCGGGTTCTTTTGTAACATACTTTAAGGTGTTTTATATACCATACGTAATTGGTAATAAGCACCTTTCGAGTTGTCACATTACTTCGGACTGGACTTGTATTTAAAGAAAAATTCAAAGCGATAACTAGATATAAAGACAGCAATACCGGTGCTGGGTCCTTCTGTTTTGCTAATGACTTATTATAATGTTTTGAGAAACATGAACAACCGTGGTTTGAATATTGAAGACTGAAATTCTCACAGGAATATATCTCAAGCCTTTTGGCAGATGACATGATCCATCCAACATACATCCGTAGACACTACATGCAGATAGAATTGTCGAAATGTTATTTACCTTATTGTTATCCAGAATGAACAAATTTCAAATTATAAATGAATTAAGTTCATTGCAAAACATCCCTGAATAGTTTGGCCTGAATAGTAAGTGCATTGCAAAACATCCCTGAATAGTATAACTGCGAGTATAATATTATAGGGTAGAAATGCATGCATGCAAAAGAAACCCCGCCCTTTGCCAGAAAAACCACTATATTTTCCAAAGATGAATTATTTGGAGTGGTTATCATGGTTACACGATCACTTTATTCTTTTTATATATTTTTTAAATTAAATTTCAAAAACCGGCCAGAAATGATCACTTTTAATCAGTGGTGTCAAGTAACGAAGTAAATGTACTTCGTTACTGTACTTGAGTACTATTTTTGAGAAGTGAGCATGTAACAAAGTAAACTTTTTCTGCAGTACTTTTACTTGGAACGAAGTCGTTTTAAGAAGTAACGTTTCACGTACGTACTTCGTTATTTTCATTTTGTGGCGAGGTAATTCGTTACTTTCTAACTTTTGTTTAATTTTACGTAATTTATTCCCAATTTATTTTACTTTTGGGATAGGTAAAAGGACCTCTACATGCGTTTGGGATCTCTCGTTTGTGACTTACTTATAAGCATTATTTATTTAATGGATTTCTTATATCTTCAGCGGGGTCTGGAAAGTAGACCATGCCGTGAAATATTGTATATTTATAATGCGTGTGCTGTTTTGTGTCTGTGTGTTTTTTTTGTATCTCAATCCATGAATGGAGAAGTCCCCCCCCCCTCCTACACTCTACAGACAATAGTACTTTTACTTTGTACTTCAAGTGTTTTTTTTTAAGGATAGTTTGTACTTTTTACTTAAATACGTTTTGCCTCCAGTACTTTTTACTCTTACTCAAGTCGTTTTATTTTTAATTACTTCTGCTTTTACTCGAGTATAAATTCAAAGTAATTTAGGCACCACTGCTTTTAATCTGAAAAATTATCAATTTCGCAAATATAGAGGAGCTACACGATATAGGTATTATACTATTAGGCGTAATATAAACTTCAATTAACTAATGTAAAATTCAGCTACTTACGCTCCACAAAAGTTTTAAAAAGTTCATAAAACTAAACTGCCTTTTAACGACAACCTTTGAGTTTCAAATAACAACGATTGTGCAATTCTCTCATGAAAAAAACTTTGCTTTCTTCCTTATTTAAAGATTTAATATCCTAAATTTTATGAAAAGGGTAATTTTTTAAAACAATGCACTGAATACATTGTCTTTTTTATTGTAGCTACGCAACATCGTTTTTTTAAAGCGAACAAATACATCAATTTTAAAAGCAACCTTTTTTTAGGTTTTACAGTTTCCAGCAATCTTTTATATGAAGAAAAAAACATTTTCGGCTGCTCGTCCCATTAAACGATTATTCGAGTTTCTCGTGGTTTTTCTGATGTTTTTATTCAAATCTCACTCATTTCACTGATTTATTCCTGTAAATCGCGCATTCGCCATACTTTAGGGATCAATGGGAGGTCCACCCGTGAGGTCCTTTTCCCGTGTGCAAACAGTCGAGCGGAATTATAGTACCCTGGTTTGGGGATAATACACCATTATGCACAATGATTCAAAATTTTCGAGTAACTGAAATTACCCAAATTTATGAACAAGGTTACTCATTTTCTTAGTAAGGTTTCTAATTTGCCCATTAATTTTTTACTAATTTTCTTCAATATTTTGAGGTACTGTTGGTGCATTATTATACTCAAGGTTTCGAGTCAAATTTTTTTTGCGCTGTGGTAATTTACTAAATTCCTCAGTCAAATATAGACAGGAACACTACCTTGTGGAAAATAACTGGACCGAGATAAACCGAGATATATAATTAAAGAGACCATGGTTAAAACAATCATATAATTATCTGGTTGAGATAAGATACGCTAATTAATTCTCTTGATTTTAGGAGTTCCAAAAGATCGAGCCACATTGCTGGACTTGCCAATGGTACTATGATGGGTGCTATTGATCTTAGTTTTGCAATATCATTTCGTTACGGTGGACATCTTGTGACAGAAGGCGATATCTCAGTAAAAGATTTGATGCAGTAAGTCTTATACAGTATATCACTGGAATTTTTTTCAAAATCCTTACTATGGAAACAGTATGGATCTTCCATCGATCGAAACAGCATGTCAATTGCAATTTCCATAACATGGGTTTTTTGTATGGAAATAGTATGAATGTAGTGATACAATTGCAAATTCTATAGTACTATGAATTTCACAATTTTTTCCAGTGTATCTTCGGTTCTAGAGGTTTCGGAGAGCCAGGGTTTCGCGTGTAGTAATGTGAAGCATTCTTTGATCGACCCGCACCAATTTGAAGCTAGCGAATCAGAATAAGAGTTTTTAAGATAGAATAATTTACACTGCAGGCAGAGGTATTCATGAATGATTTTAGGAAATTTTACCCTTTATAAATTATCTGGTTATTATTACAGTTTAATATCTGCGTTCTGAGTTACAGTAACAGTACCATGCATGATCTTACTCAATCATAGCGCACGTCATGCAACAAAGTACAAGTCATGATCTTATATTTTATGAACTTAACCTTGAATTTGTTGCTTGATCAGTTGAGCTTTAAATTTTGCTTTGTTGTATACATGCACACACTATACTGTGATTTGGTATCATTTACTGCTGTAAATGAATGCAGTACACAACTTAGCCATTGAATATAACTGAGCGAGGGGTGTATCACTCCAAAAGAGTGTCCTGGAGGATTTGGGGGGATTTTTAGTGATTTGATAACGATACTTTTAATGGCGTCCATTTTAGTACTTCTGATAGTACTGTAATAGCCCATTTTTAGGGTTTGCTGTTGCTTAGATATATATATTTATTAAGAAATACACATCGGAGCCTAGAGCTGAATTGCGTGATTACAAACTTCAAAAATATTACATTTAATAAACGATTAGAAAAGTCATTATGCAGATCCAATAAATTTATCACTGAATTAAGTCAAATCTACCAATTTCCTTGTAGTTTTTACATTGCAGAATTTATATATCTGATCATAATTGCATGCACATTTGTTCTCTGGGGCAAAAAATTACAAACGGTCAATTTTGCTTTTGTTTTTGGTAATGCGACATGGTCTTAATGTAATGACAAAAACTACACGAATAGATAATTCCGTATACGTAATTGACAATTCTTCTGAGAAGATATCCTACAACACACAAAAACATTATTCTTCAAGGTTTTATACTACTTAATTTTTTCAAACAGGTCCGTGATGACAGTCATAGTCAGTGCTGTTATTGTGGGCCAATTGATGTCTATGACACCGGATTATACAAAAGCAAGGGAAGCCACGAACAAAGTGTTTCATTTCTTAGAAAAGACGCCTGCCATTGACAGTTACTCTGACAGAGGGGCACGCCCGGTAAGTTACCATTCCTTGTTATTTAAATTTTGCAGTGACTATGTATAATGATTATTTGGATTATTGATTGATTGCGATAAAAGTGACGGCATAGTTATTGTTGTTGACTAGCCAGATACTAATTTTATTTCTCTTCAAAATGCTGAGAAAATACTGGGAAAACTGCTAAATTCCGTGACCTTTTAAGTTGTTTTTATAATTTGTCGTATTGGTTTTTATCATTCTGCTATCACAATTTTACGCACTGAACGATATATGCTTTCAGTACACACTCAACATGGGTCTATTAGAAATCCAGTGTTCTGATTGGCTACCCAACCAGGGACCATATGTTAGGTGGATTATTAATTAACCATGAGGAATTCTTGGTAAATAATCCACCCAACATGATCTAATCTGGCTGATTCAATCGTATAACCAGGTTAAATTAACCAGGATTGTAGTTAAATTGACCATGAAATTTAACCAGAGACCCCAAACAGTGACACTTCTGGATTAACCAGGATATTTTTAAAACCAGGGTGAAAATATAAAGAGTGTAATAGTATTTTTTCCGTCCAATTTGGAAAGACATACACTCGTGAGTTTTTCAAAGTTTCAAACTAAGGTGTCAAATTACACTTGTCATTGGACTCGTAAATGATTTTGATCGTCTTTGAAAAACTCACTTGCGCATGATTTTGCACTCCAAATCATAGTATTACTTATGCTAATATTTTCTTTTAGAGTTCTTGCAATGGGGAAATTCGAATCGCGAATGTTCGCTTTAGATATCCCACACGACGAAATGTGAAAGTATTACGCAACCTAAGCTTGAATGTCCAACCAGGACAAACTGTAGCTCTGGTTGGAACAAGTGGATGCGGTAAAAGTACCTCTGTTTCATTGATTGAACGGTTTTATGATGCAAGGAGCGGAAGTGTGGTAAGAATTTTGACTAATTATGTAACGCATTGATGCGCATTGATGTTCATGGCAATTTCTTCGCGAATTGAAAAGAGCGTTCAAAACCTCAAATCGTTTTGACGCACCTGGCAAAATGACTTCTTTATAACCTTGTTTTAAAGTTTATACAGTTTGCTAACTTTTTAAATGCATCTGCGAGTTTAGTGACGTAAAATAACAGTAAAAAATGACAATTGAAATACAGTTAATGATTTAATTAAAATAGACGCCATATTTACAGCAATATATAGGCTAAACTTACTCTGGATTTTATACGCATATAATTTTCACTTTGATATATCAAATATATGAAATAATTTTATTTATACATTAGGGAGTGAGAGATCGTATATCATATCAAGCAAAATTCGTCGGATGGCCGCTCCCCCGTTTTGTGCATGATGGTCTTAATATTTAAAAGTATATCCCCGCCGGACATATATACAGGATGCAATTCTAATCTTTGTTTATATGGATGTCTGCATGACTATTTTCCCATTAAGAAATAGAAAACATTTACCGTATTTCTACACAGTTTTGGGAAAACGCGTGGGAATTTGCATGGATTAAGGGAGAGTTTTCCACGTTATTTCGAGTTCTACCAAACTACGACAAGGATTTCTATAACTGTATAGAAACACAGGAAATAACGTTTTCTATTTCTTTTATATCTCGAGAAAAGATTTTATGGCTTTTGTATAAATACTCATTATATCAGCGTAAACCCACTTGATCGGCGCATGCATGCGTGGTCGATTTCACAACAGAATAGTTAAGATGTCAAGTTCTCCTCTATTTAACTGAGCTAGAATTCCCTTTTTGTCTTAGGGTTCCTTAATTTAATTTCTTTGCGAAAGTTAGTTTTATTGTACACATTTTTTCGATTATAGCGCATGTTTTAAACAATTTCTTTTGTTTACGCTCTATAAAATTATAGCTGCGAGACGAGAAATGTTAGCTAATAGTATACCGCTTAATATACAGTTATACTGAATATCATTGTGTTGTTTACGTTTAGATGATAGATGGCCATGATATCAAGGAGTTGAATTTAAAATGGCTGAGGAGTCAAATAGGAATTGTCTCTCAGGAACCAGTTCTGTTCGACTTGTCTATAAGAGACAACATCGCGTATGGTGATACATCAAGAACCGTTAGTGATAGTGAAATTGAAGAAGCGGCAAGAGCTGCCAATATTCACGATTTCATCACAACACTACCAAAGGTAGGGATATACGTTCTTAGTCTCTAGTCTGTCATTACTTTGTACCTCGGCATCAGGATCAACAAGCAATAGACTATTTCAAAATTAAGTACGCAGACTCACAAATGGCAATATCCTAATCAGTACTAATATACTTAGATATATTTCTGGCTAATATACTAGTTCCTTTTCGATTTAAATGTAGTCCTCGAGAGTTCAAGCAAGTTGAGTTGAAAGACTCATGATCTAGGAATGCCCAGTTCTTTTCAATACAAAATGCTTTTATTAATCTGTTTGCCTGATTCACCTTGGACATCAAATTTGGTTTATCGGTTCTTGGAAGTATCCCAGAGATCACTATATCTGTTGTAGGCAAGTCTTGAGTAATTTGTATGCCTAGATTTAATACTCCCTCTGCTACCGTTTGGGCAGTTTGATAGTTTATATCGTTCGTATACCTATATGTAAAATTATTTTGTTCGGCTCCTTTCGGAGCACTGGTCTTAAATAGTCTTCCATATCAGAAGTTGTAGCTCCTGAGAAACTCTTGACTACCACATGGTTACTCGCGTTCGATAGACGCCATCCTTCTACATGCTTCAATATAGAATCTCCAGCAACTACCGTGACCTTTTTGCTTGGAGATTGGATGCTTTTAGGAGAACTAGTTGTATTTTTATTTACATTACTCACCTCGTTAATCGGTTGAGAGGTTTGAGTGGTTTTAGCAGGTGAATCAGTTATACACCGTTGTTCGTCTTGGCTTTGCTTCTCAGACGTCTTAGATTTCTTATTCGATTTTTTTGACTTGTATTTTCGCTTCAGTGTATCTTGGTTGCTGATATTTACGTTGTCAGTTAGTAGGGCATTTACAGCGGAGCCTGGTTCAATAATATCATGATTGATTACCTCCACATTAACTTCCGCACTCGTGTTACTTGGCGAGTTAATGTCCGATTTGTTATTTAGTAACCTAATGGCTGTAATTAAGCTAGCTTTCTCCTCTTCTGTAGATTTGACCTTTCCTTGTAGGTCAGCTAATATATAACTCAGATTGTTTAACCTTTCGTGTAAAGATTTGTTCTCATTTTTCAAATCATTGTTCGTGTCTTTTAAATCGCTATTTTCCTTTATAAGTGCAGAAAATTCACTTTCCTTGTCAGCAATTCTGAGTTCTTTAAGCTGGTTAGAGTGATCTGATAACGTCCTATTTATGTATGTCATGCTCGATACAAATTGATCGGATAAGGCTTGTAGTTTAGCTTGTAACTGGCAGTTAAGGATTTTAAGATAAGTCTCTTGGGAATCGTCTAGGTCATTATTTGGGTGGGATTTATTGTCGTTATGGCTGACTGACCTGTTTTTCTCAACAACATCCACGAGCTTGTCCTCGTCGTTAGCTAAACCCGCTGAAATTGAGGCTAATTTCAACAGCTTCTCCTTGAATTCCTTTTCGTCTTTACCACTAATGGTGATTGATTCGGTATCAGAATACCAGCGGATAGAGATGCTTTCATTTTGGTAAAGCTTTGCGTGTCCTCCCGGCGTGGTCCATTCGCCGTCTGACAAAACCAAGACTTCTGCGACAAGTCTTTGTAGAGCCTCAAAATCGGCTGTCCATTTGAGCTTTCCTTTGCTGCTAGTAGA